TGATGTGTGTGTGTGTGTGTGTGTGTGATGTGTGTGTGTGTGTGTGTGTGTGTGTGTGTGTGTGTGATGTGTGTGTGTGTGTGTGTGTGTGATGTGTGTGTGTGTGTGTGTGTGTGATGTGTGTGTGTGTGTGTGTGATGTGTGTGTGTGTGTGTGTGTGTGTGATGTGTGTGTGTGTGTGATGTGTGTGTGTGTGTGTGTGTGTGTGTGATGTGTGTGTGTGTGTGATGTGTGTGTGTGTGTGATGTGTGTGATGTGTGTGTGTGTGTGTGTGTGATGTGTGTGTGTGTGTGTGTGTGTGTGTGATGTGTGTGTGTGTGTGATGTGTGTGTGTGTGTGTGTGTGTGTGTGTGATGTGTGTGTGTGTGTGTGTGTGATGTGTGTGTGTGTGTGTGTGTGTGTGATGTGTGTGTGTGTGTGTGATGTGTGTGTGTGTGTGTGTGTGTGTGTGTGTGTGATGTGTGTGTGTGTGTGTGTGTGTGTGATGTGTGTGTGTGTGTGTGTGTGTGTGTGTGTGTGTGTGTGAGTGTGTGTGTGTGTGTGTGTGATGTGTGTGTGTGTGTGTGTGTGTGTGTGTGTGATGTGTGTGTGTGTGTGTGTGTGATGTGTGTGATGTGTGTGTGTGTGTGTGTGTGTGTGTGTGTGTGATGTGTGTGATGTGTGTGTGTGTGTGTGTGTGTGTGTGTGTGTGTTCGTTCACAGAAGCGACTTCAGTTTAAACTTGTTTATTTGATTTATTTGTTTTAAATATTAGAGTCAGACTCACCCATCCCAGATCCGATCACGTCTCCCAAACGATTAAACTTATTCACCTGCAAATTCACACACAAAAACATTAACGGCTTCACTTAAAGCTGCACCGTGTCACTTTTCTGCCGGAGTGTCCGTCAGACGCTTTTCTCCATGGAGACGCTTTTACTGTCCTGTCTGGAATGTTCCGCAGTGTGGCATTAAACAGAAACCAAACAGATGCAGCTACAGGTCAGATCTGTGGAGAGGCGACCCCGCTCACAGTCTAGAGATGCGCGGATTGCGGTTACAACCGCGGGTCGGGCGGATGACGTGACGAAAAATTATATTTTAATTAAATTCGGGCGGGTGGCGGTTTAACTACTAAAAAAAAAAAAAAAAAAGTTCTTGTTAGTATTGTTACGTACATGTGAAAAGACGAGTGTCATTGTCTGTGTTTGTAGTATGAAGTGTTCGTCATGTCCTTAATTAGCCCATTTGACCTCGTTTTTATGTTCTGAAGGTTCAGGTTGTCGGGTTATTGATGCCTAAGGTTTACGAGGCACATTTTATATGCAGTTTATTTTATTATTTCTAATTTATTTCAGCTGTTTGCCAACACATAAGTGGCTATAGGGACATATCAATATCAGTTATATTTTAAAACACGCAGACATTATAGCGTCGACTGCCACTCGGGGGATTTAAAACTTAAAGAAAGACCGATGGACTGAGGCTATGACTTTGAAATAACATCGGGCGATGGCAGAATGTTCAGAATGTAACAACATCCAACACGAAGGCAAGAAGGTTCAAAAACAGCCTCGTCGGAAAACGTTGTCAGTTAATTAGCTGCGCAAGAAAACCAGGTAAGTCCGGGTTTGTTACGGACAATTAAGAATGTGAACAAACACGCTGAGCCAATGTTGGAATGAATGAGCTGTAGTTTGCATTTTTATCGAGGCTCCTTAGTTTGTTTGCTGTATGATTGTTCTAAAATCTCAAATCAATGGGCGGATGGCGGCGGGGGCGGTTTTGAAAACCTTCGGTGCAAAATGGACAGCGGGCGGATGATGAGTTTTGTGTCGCGGTTGCGGATGAAAAAATAGCCCATCCACACGTCTCTAACACAGTCACAGTGTTTGTTTTTATACGGATTTTGGAGCTTTAAATCCTCCTGTGATTGAAAAACTGTAAAGTGGATCTGTTTAAAGTCACACTGCGGAACATTCCAGACAGATCAGTGACGTCTCCGTAGAAACAAGCAGGTGACGGACCCTCCTCCAGAAAAGGTCCTGTATGACTCTGTTCTGTTCTGTTGTTTCCTGGAGTTTTTTTGTGTTTTGTTTCATTCACATGTTTAACTCATAAACACTCTGTTCCACCTTGTGATGTCATCACGCTCACACACTGCACCGAACGACAGAGGGAAAGAGAAACACAGGACTACATCATACTATAATACTCCCTACAACTGCACAACAACTCACCCTTATGTCACAGATAATACTCCCTACAACTGTACAACAACTCACCCTTATGTAACAGATAATACTCCCTACAACTGTACAACTCACTCTTATGTAACAGATAATACTCCCTACAACTGTACAACAACTCACCCTTATGTAACAGATAATACTCCCTACAACTGTACAACTCACTCTTATGTAACAGATAATACTCCCTACAAATGTACAACAACTCACCCTTATGTAACAGATAATACTCCCTACAACTGTACAACTCACTCTTATGTAACAGATAATACTCCCTACAACTGTACAACAACTCACCCTTATGTCACAGATAATACTCCCTACAACTGTACAACAACTCACCCTTATGTCACAGATAATACTCCCTACAACTGTACAACAACTCACCCTTATGTCACAGATAATACTCCCTACAACTGTACAACAACTCACCCTTATGTCACAGATAATACTCCCTACAACTGTACAACTCACCCTTATGTAACAGATAATACTCCCTACAACTGTACAACTCACCCTTATGTAACAGATAATACTCCCTACAACTGTACAACAACTCACCCTTATGTCACAGATAATACTCCCTACAACTGTACAACAACTCACCCTTATGTCACAGATAATACTCCCTACAACTGTACAACAACTCACCCTTATGTCACAGATAATACTCCCTACAACTGTACAACAACTCACCCTTATGTAACAGATAATACTCCCTACAACTGTACAACAACTCACCCTTATGTCACAGATAATACTCCCTACAACTGTACAACTCACCCTTATGTAACAGATAATACTCCCTACAACTGTACAACTCACTCTTATGTCACAGATAATACTCCCTACAACTGTACAACTCACTCTTATGTAACAGATAATACTCCCTACAACTGTACAACTCACTCTTATGTAACAGATAATACTCCCTACAACTGTACAACTCACTCTTATGTCACAGATAATACTCCCTACAAATGTACAACAACTCACCCTTATGTAACAGATAATACTCCCTACAACTGTACAACAACTCATCCTTATGTCACAGATAATACTCCCTACAACTGTACAACTCACTCTTATGTAACAGATAATACTCCCTACAACTGTACAACTCACTCTTATGTAACAGATAATACTCCCTACAACTGTACAACTCACCCTTATGTAACAGATAATACTCCCTACAACTGTACAACAACTCACCCTTATGTAACAGATAATACTCCCTACAAATGTACAACTCACCCTTGTAACAGATAATACTCCCTATGTACAACTCACCCTTATGTAACAGATAATACTCCCTACAAATGTACAACAACTCACCCTTATGTAACAGATAATACTCCCTACAACTGTACAACAACTCACCCTTATGTAACAGATAATACTCCCTACAACTGTACAACAACTCACCCTTATGTCACAGATAATACTCCCTACAACTGCACACACCTTCACTAGAATCATTTGGATCATTTCAGTTGTGGAGTTGTTGATCTCGACTAAACTAAAGGGAAAAGGAGCTGTTCACTTGATGACATCACGAGGTGGAACAGAGTGTTTGGAGTTTTGCAGAGGAAACAGACTCAGGAGTGTTTTTCAGAGTGAACAGAGTTAAACTGTTGTGGTGTTTCAGACTCACAGACTTGATCCCGGGCGCAGACGGGTCGTACAGCTGACACACCAGCTCTGCGGAGTTGGCGTCGTAGATGTCGATGGTCCTGAGGGTGCCCGGGCACACGCGCCCGTCCGGGTAACGCCCCACCACCATCAGGTCGTAGGTCGGGTGCCACGTGGCCTGAGCCCAGAAAACACAAACAACAAAACACAAACGAGACGGGAGAAAGTGAGAATGAGTTTGACTGAAACACGAGACGAGAAGAGAGAAAAGAGACGAGAGAAAAGAGACAAGAGAAAAAGAGACGAGAGAAAAGAGACGAGAGAAAAGAGACGAGAGAAAAAGAGAGAAAAGAGACGAGAGAAAAGAGACGAGAGAAAGAGACAAAGAGAGAGAAAAAGAGAGAAAGAGACAGAGAGAGAGAGAAAAGAGACGAGAGAGAGAGAGAAAGAGAGAGAGAAAAGAGACGAGAGAAAAAGAGACGAGAGAAAAGAGACGAGAGAAAAAGAGAGAAAAGAGACGAGAGAAAAGAGACGAGAGAAAAGAGAGAAGAAGAGAGAGAGAAAAGAGACGAGAGAAAAGAGACGAGAGAAAAAGACGAGAGAAAGAGAGAAAGAGACAAAGAGAGAGAGAAAAGAGACGAGAGAAAAAGAGAGAAAAGAGACGAGAAAAGAGACGAGAGAAAAAAAGAGAGAGAGAAAAGAGACGAGAGAAAAAAGAGAGAAAAGAGAGAGAAAAAGAGAGAGAAAAAGAGACGAGAGAAAAAGAGACGAGAGAAAAAAAGAGAAAAGAGACGAGAGAAAGAGAGAGAAAAGAGACGAGAGAAAAAGAGACGAGAGAAAAAGAGACGAGAGAAAAAGAGAGAAAAGAGACGAGAGAAAAAGAGACGAGAGAAAAAGAGACGAAAAGAGAGAGAAAAGAAGAGAGAAAAGAGACGAGAGAAAGAGAGAAAGAGAGAGAAAAAAGAGAGAAAAGAGACAGAGAGAGAAAAGAGACAGAGAGAGAGAAAAGTGACGAGAGAAAAAGAGAGAAAGAAAAGAGACGAGAGAAAAAGAGACGAGAGAAAAAGAGACGAGAGAAAAAAGAGAGAGAAAAAGAGAGAAAAGAGACGAGAGAAAAAGAGAGAAAAGAGACGAGAGAAA